ATATTTTTTTTTTGTCAAAAAAATCTATTTTTCTTCAAAAATGTATTGCTGGTAATAATATATTTTTTTAAAAAGTATTTCTGGTATTAAAACATATTTTTACACTTTCATAGTGCAGAGTGGACCTGGGAACACCAGCAATTAAGAGGTGGTTCCACGCTCCTCAAAACCTCCTGATCAGAGGTCTTGCTGTTGGACATAGTTTATTGTCTTACCCAGGACACGGATGTAATTTATCATCATTCCCAGGACATGACTCAACAGAGAGGCCTTCATCAAGTGCCTTGAAGAGGTAGTGCTGCCCTGGGTGAAGAAGGTGCCTGCTGGAAGATCCTATGTCTGGCAACAGGATTCTGCACCAAGCCACACAAACAGGAGAAACCAGTCATGGCAGTCAATTTCTGTGACTACATCACCTCTTACATCTGTCCACCTAACCCCCCCCCCCAGACTGCAACCCCCTTGATTACTATATGTTGGTTGCAGTTGAGCGAGAGACCAACAAAACTTCTTGTAATACCAAAGATAAACTGAAGGCAAGGATTATGGCTGCATTCACTAACTTAAAACAAGGAGATCGTCCAGAAGAGATGCAAGAGATTCCAAAGTCGTCTGAAGGGCATGGTTGAAGCCAATTACAATTTTATTGAATAAATTTACTCTTTAGCATTTTAAGATATTTTTGTGTAATTTTGGTAAATATATCTGTTAAAATGAGATGTTAGTGTTATTTTAATTTTTGCATAATTTAGACAATTTATCAATCGCACCCTGTACTCTGACATGTAACCTATGTTTGGAGAGGGAGTAGAAACATATTCCTGCCTTTCCCAAGGGCATTAGTGCAAGGTGACTATGTCAGAAGTTGAATGTGACTTGCTGATATTTTTTTGTGATGTTTTTTTTATGCTACTTGCTTATTACCTACTAATAGTAGGCTAAATGTATGTAAAAATGAATGCATTCTTGATTTTTTTTCATTATGAAAATTTAAAAAAAAAACAAAAAACAAAAAAAAAAAAATAATTTTATTCATTTAACGAGAAAAACGAAAGTTTAATTAACATTCCTTTCTCTATCTAACATCAAATTGACCTTATTTTTGCTTTTTAGAAAAGAATTTTTTTCACTATGTAGAACATCATTTCTTCAATAAAATTTTTTAAATCTTTCAAAATGTACAAAGATTTTAATATTTCATTTTCATATATACCTAGTTTTGAGAAAAATCTTATGTTAATTCAAAGCAAAGGGTAAGAATTCCCTTGTCCTTTGATTAAGACAACTATTTTTAAAAAATTAAAGCGAATAAATTATCAAAAAATAAAATGTAATAAAAAAAAATAAGAGATCCAGTTAGCCGTGTCTTTAAATGGGTGTTGTCTCAACCAGCCAATAAGCTTCAATTAAGATTATTTTTTATGTAGGCGTCGTGTCAAGAACTATATTCATTTGAATGAAACTTTGGGTCAGTATTGTTGTTTTTTTCTTTAACAATCATATTATTCATTTGAATAACCAACAGAAGCTAGGAATATGCGGGCTTGCGACGTGTTTGTCAATTAAAAATATTGACTTAGGAGGTGAACACGTTGAATCAACTTTTTTTAATTATCAATGTTGATTACAACGAACGAACTTAAAAAGAAAGTAAGCATGAGTTGAAAATTATTTTTAATTCATGAAGATGAGTTTCTCTAGGATTAAAAAGGAATCAAATTAAATTTTAATGCTGTTAAAAAATAAGTTTAATTCAATTTTGAAAATTAAAAACATTTTCAACCACACGATGAACAATATAGTAAAAAAACACCAAGTGAATGTTTTTGGAAGCTTCCCGCCTTTAAAACAGAGGATAAAAAAACATAGCAGTTGAATATAAAAGGTAAAGAGCTAAAAATATAATTAAATCAAACAGCTATAGGTGTTACTTGGCTTAAACAATCGGAATTATAGATTTAATAGACAGAAAACTGAGAAATCAAAAAGGTACAAAAAAATTTACCAATTTTAAATTACGTAAAAAAACAAAGTTTTCGACCTTGTAATGTCATAATATAAAATAACCTTTTAAAGAGGAAATATTATACTGTTTTTATCGCAAATAAATAATTTGATCATGTCATGGAATCTTGTAGTGTCAAAAGAAAAAAAAAAGTCTTATTATTCATATTGTCTGTGTTTTTGTGCGAATTTCGTCTCCTACTAGAGAATCTACCTGGCTGGCTTGATGGAGGGAGATTGTAAGTAAAAGCTTGTAATCGTCACGATTAATTACAATAAAAATAAATAGCATTCGGGAGAGGAGGAAAGATATAAAAGAAGCCAGCCTTCAAGAAAATTGCTTTTAATTTGAATTGGAATTCATTCCTATTTTTACAGGTGAATCCGAGAAGAAACGAAAGAAAGAAAAGATGCAGAATTTGCGTAGGCGAGAAATTTTGTGAAGATGTGAAGGAAAGAGGAATTAAATATAATTTCCAGTTAAATGTAAATTTTTCAATTGTTAAGAAGAAATAGAAAAAAAAAAAAAAAAGGCCAGAAAAGATTTTTTTTCTTTTTAAATTTAAAATTATAAAAGTAAAAGGAATTTTAAAAAGTAACCATTTTTCCGAAAATAAAAACACGCGGATAAAAAAAAAAAAGAAAAGAAAACAAATTAAAAAAAAAACCAAAACAAGAATCTTGAAAAAATCCAAAGGAAACATTTTAGAGAGTTTTTTCAAGATAAATAAGCAAAATATGTAATTTAATTATTTAAAAAAAATTAAAAAAATAATAATCAAACAATCCATACTTTTTTTACTCTAAAGAAAAAAAAAAAAAAAAATTCAAATTTTTTTTTTTAAATTTTTCGTTTATTTTTTTTTAGATTTGTAAACTAAACAGAACTACTGCAATTTAGTATAAACTAAAAAATTTAAAAGTTAATAATCAACACTGATTTAAGAGTACAAAACTATAAAAGACAATTTGGCTTGTTAGAAAAAAATCCATTCCATCGGTCAAACACTCAAACTCAATAGGTTTTACTTTTATGGCGATTTCATTGTTTTCTTCTAAATTCTATTTAAAAAATATAATAACAGGAAAGTGAATTTATATAGGGAAACTATTTTCGTTCGAACAAAATGTCTAACAAGATACGATTTTTAAAAGGAAAAGAAAAGCAAAAGTCCATTTTTTTTTGTTCTGAACTGTTGTGTATTTTTAAATGTCAAAACCACAACCTTCTTCAAAGGTTTTTTCTTTGGCCATTGACTTTTCTTTCTTTTTTTTAGTAATTAAGCTTAACTTAAGGAAACGTATCAAATTACATTAATGAGAAGAACGAAAACCTTTTTTTTCGATCGTTTATTTCTTTTCTACTTAATGAAAAAAAAATAGGTAACACCTTGGTCGGCTTATTGATTTCTTAAATTTTATCAAATGTTACTTAAAAGTAAAATATATGTTTCAGCTTTTTAAAAAAAATATCTTAATGGATGAGAAAAAAAATAACACGGGTATTTTTTCATAACGTTTAAATGACAATATATTAAAAAGTGAATTAAAATTAATTTAAAAACTAATGTTGTCACAAAATATTTAAATAAAAATGCTTCTCTATAAAAAAAAATATTTAAGGTCAATGACAACATGTTTTTTTAGGCTAAAAATAAAAATAAAAAAATCATTTAAAAATTAAAAAAAATATTTTTTAAGAAAATTTCAAATAATAGTTACTTAAGTTTCTTTTCTCTCATAATTTACATTTAATTTCTACAATAAGAAAAAAGGTTATTTTTTTCATTGCTTCTCTTTTTTTGTCTCAACTGCAGTTATAATTTTTATAGCGGTAAATTGTAAAAAATATTTAGTAAAAAAAATATACTAACAACAACTTTAATTATTTATGGAATAAATTTGGTTCTGGTCATGTGGTGAAATAATTTTAAAAATAGAATTTTAAACGATATTCACAAAAATAATGTTAATTTTATATGATCAACAAGTGAATGATAAATTTCATTCAGTTATGAATCATTTTCAAATCCAGGATCCGATAGAAAAGAAAAAAAAAAGCTTATTTTAATGATAATAAAAATTGATTGAAAAACTCGTTTTTTAAAAAGATTATTTTTTTTTTGATAGTGAAACTAAAAGTAGAATTTTTCAAAAAAAATAAAAAGAATAAAATAAAAATAACTGAAGAAAAAAAACAATAAAAAAACAATTTATTTTGGGATTTCTTTCATCTTAAAATTTCTCTCAGGTCGTCATTCTACGATCATTGTAATTCGATCATGTCCAGAGAGACAAAAAAATGAAAACACTATTGCATAACGATCGTATAAATTATGATCTGTAGCAATTTAAATTTTGTTTATTTAAAGAAAAATTGAAAAAGATTCTAATCATAAATAGATTTACCATATTTTTTATTTTAAGTATTTCTAAAGTTTTCATATCCGCCGTTTATGCGAAATGAAAAACATTTTCAAGAAAAGAGCGCAACAAACCATAAAAAATATCCAAAATCTTTCGAAAATATGTAAGAAAGAAATAAAGTTTTTATTTCTTTTTATTCAATAAAAATAAAATAAACCAGTCATAAACATTCTAATCTTTAATATTTCATTCTTTATTGCGTAAATAATTTACGTAATAAATAATGATTTTTCTAACAACAAAACAAAAATATGTTTTAATTACTTTTCCACCTGTTACAAAATAATTACCATTTACGTAAAAAAAGGTCGGGTATTTTATACCATTCTTAAATTAATTTTGTGTGGAAAATTATATATCATTGCAAATGTTCCAATAAAATAATAACTTTATATTCACCGGTAAATGAATTAAAATTTAATTTAATTTTTTTCATATTTACAGAAAAAAAACGAAAACAAACAATTACGATCGGAAAAAAATGTAAAAAAAAAAAAAATAACTTAAGTTAAAAGAAAATGTTTCTTTCAAAGAAATCGAGAAAGAAAAAAAAGAAAGAATTTAAATACCTCTTTATTCTTGTCGACAAGGTAATTAATGGAGCAAAGATTAAAAACAAGAAGCGATCGGATTATCTCAAAATTGCCTTTGCTTCGATAAGCTTCTTCGGCATTATTGAAAGATAAATCGACGTAAGGATGCCCGTATTCATCTAAGACTCTGTTCGTAACACTCCTTTTTGGTTTATCATCGCTGTCTGGAGTCGGATCTGGTTCCTCTTGTTGACGAGCTGAAGCAAGGGTAGACTTAAATGCAGTCAATCTGTAAGTAGCAGTCGGTTGAGAAAACTGTGAGCGATGACCCAAGACAACAAGTTTGTAGAACTGGCTTGAGAGACGTCCGAATGCACGCGCCATTTTAGCTTTACTACGAATCACTGAGCAAACGGCAATGTTTTATTTTTGGCTTAATGAATGTAAGGGAGGTAAGCACATTTCAACCAATCACAATCGACCATTTTGCAGCTAGTAATTTACAAGTTTTTTCTTCTCGACCAAAAAGTTGCGCTGATATGGCAAGGAAAAAGTGAAATAAATTTATGTTTTTAACTGAAGTTTACATATTTTCCCTTTGATAAAAAAAAAGCTGTAGACTAATATTAACTAACAAAAATAGGTATTTTCATTTTTTTTAATCATTTCACCCCAAACAAGGCAATGGGTTACTGAATGTGAAAGAGTATAAGAAAAACAAAATATTATTAAGGAGAGAGAACGATAAAAGAACAATAATTAATAAGACAGTAGATAACGATTGACATTGCATTGAAATTTTTGAAAATCAAAATGAGCTGGAAAGCAAGAAGCCGGAAGAGACTTCCACAAGCGAAAAGTGTGTGAAAAGAAACAGTTAGCATAGAACTTAGGGGCTACATCTAGCAATTTCAACTGTAAAACTGATGAGACCTAACTGCCAATCTAGTACTGCATTTAAATTCAAAGTCTATGTACGATAGAGCAAAGCTCATCAGAACAATTACTATAAAAGTATTTATAGAACAGTCACTGGGAAGCTACATTACGGCGGTGGGAAAATGACAGAAGCCACGATACCAAGTCAGGACCAAAAACATTGTAGTCTTATTTGGATTTTATCAAAAATCTTTAGATATATAGCAGGAGCACCAGACCAGATGTGGCAGCAATACTGAAAGCAAGGACGAATGGTAGACTTTATAAATATGTAAGATAGATACTAACGAGATTGTTTAGCACAACACAGTGAACCAACTTTCCTAGCAGCAGATTTAGCAATTGATTCAATATAATCTTTCTAGTTCATGTTAGCTCGAGAAGGTGTAAACGAGTCATTCTCCTGGAGGTTAGCATCAGCCATGCTGATGGAAAGTAGAAAGGGATCTCCCAGATGATTAATAGAGAGCGGTTTCGTTTTGGTGGTGTTAAAATTAACAACCCATTTTTTGTCCCAGCTAACAACAGGCTACCTCAGTTGGACCTTATTGGACCAATCAAACTTACTAATAGTAAGTCTGAGACAGAATTTATTATTATTATTATTGTTGTTGTTGTTGTTATTATTATTATTGTTGTTGATGTTGCTGTTTCATTAAATTTGATAACGTATGTAATAATTAAATAATTAATGGTATGTGGGGGCGGTGAAAATTTCTCGATCCGACTCGCTTCCCAAATTGTGACAAACATCAGATTTTAAGAAGAGTTTAAAACTTTTCAGCACCCTTGTGTATGTAAGCTTTTTCAGGGGGTGAGCGGGAGTCAGGCCAAAAAGTTTTTAGCGCCCTATCGTGTGTAATACACAAACAAAACATTACAAGGCTATCGTTACTTTTATAGGAAATAAACACTATTTACATACACACATACATACCATATTAAAACACGCCCAAACTTTATTTTCTACCCAATGACAGACAATATTTACAAACATGCCAAAAAGATTCCACAATACAACACACATAGTTTAAATCGAAGTGTCTACTGGCTAGAAATTAGCATGACCATGCGAAATATTTGATCAGTCAGAGAAAACTAAAACCTTAGAGCCTACTTTCGAAAAAAGAATTCTTATAAAAATTCACAGATTTCGATTTTCAGGAGCAGGGATAAGACTGTTTCCAAGTCGTTCAAACACAACAGAAAACGTGGCTACATAGCTCTTTTCCTTCTCCCATCAACGTATGCTGAAAGAAACATGTGTCAGCGACTTCAAATTTAATCATCTTTAACAACAACAGCTTGGACGATCAGTGAATCTTTGTTGACGATAAAAGTTTTTTCACAATCACAAATTTTTCTGTGGACCAACTCCCCAAAGACTTTAACTCAACTGAAAACTATTTGGATTGATAAGACAGACGACCGATATGTTCGTCTGCCGAAAGAGGCTATTTTTCATATGAGGTGATTTTGGATTTGATTTTTTATCAATTATTTTCTCAGTAATAATAAATACATTGGGCTCTTTTTGTGAATCAGTTTTAATATTTTATATGACTAGGATCCATTTGGATTATATACCAACGGATTTGCTACCTTTATTATATATATATATATTTTTTTATACACGCATGCACACACACACACATATATATATTTGTTATATATATATGTTATTTATATATATTTATTATTATATTATATATATTATACATATATACATATATATTTGTTACATATATATATATATATATATATTTGTTACCTTTACTCACTCTCTCTCTCTCTCTCTCTCTCTATTGTGGCAACGGAAATGTTTCAATACACACGTGTAATATATTTTTATAAGCTTTTTTGTATATATCTGGAGAATCTTGATTTCGTGATGTTTTGTACACAATTCTGGAATTAAAACTGATAATAAACTTGGCAGACATGTATTTAAGCGGGCAATAAAAATAGGTAGCTTTCGCTTTGTGTACTACATGTTACATTTATAATGGGATTGTGGGAGGTGGAATGGGTGAAGATTTGGCCTTGTCAAAATATTCAACAAGCCCACAAAGAAAAAGTAAAAGAAGAAAGCAGAAAAAAAAAAGAGAAAATACAAAATGTTATATTCCAGAATTGTTGAGGCGTTGGTTAATTTGCAGTATAAGCACCAAAATTCCCTAGTATTGAGAATGTCCCATTCTGGTGTAAAATTGCCTGGTTATTTCGAAAATGACATTAAAACATTGCGCTCGATTACTGTTTAGAAGTTATGGATAATTAAGTTTGACTTCTTTCTCGTCGCGTACACAGAACGGTTGCCATTACTAGCTTTGTTAACATACGTTTGCCTCGAGTAGTCATGGTGCACAGAAGCTTTACTTGTCTTGATTACTGCGCAATGCGCGAAGTTTGAAATGAACGCGCGAAAAAACGTAAAATCCAAAAATTAAAATAAAATAAAATAAAAATTACGTGCCTGAAGAGTAAAAAAAAAAAAGGATTTTTTTCCTTCTTTTCAACAATGTTTTTTTATGTGTCGTGAAAGTTTCTTGAATTTAAAGCTTCATAAATTTCCTTTTAGGGATTAGATTCTATTTCATTGGATATAAGCAGATTTATTAAGTACTATAAAGAAAAAACTCTATTCATTTAAAACTTCATCTTAAAAAAATAAGCGCATTTTAAAATAACATCCGCGAAAACAGTGTAGTAATAAAGACCAGTAAGATACGAAAAGCTGTAAAAAGGCCGTTAACTAAGTAAGCTTCCGCGCATTACTGCAAGAGGAAAATATATGTAAAGGACACAAGTAATGGCGGCCATACAACGCGAAAGAGATCGAACTTACATTGACAATAAAGCGAAAATGGTAATCGAGCGCAGTGTTTTAATGTCATTTTCGAAATAACCAGGCAATTTCACACCAGAATGTTATATTCTCAATACCGGGGGCTTTTGGTAGTTAGACTGCAAATTAATCGAGGCGTTTTACAAATATCCTTTTCCAATCATGTCTTCTGATAACGTTTCTATGCGACCGGAAATAGACAAAAAAAGTGGAAGACTTATGTTGAAATTTCAACTCAACTCCTTGAAACGTTGTCGCCTATTTGTACGAAACGCACGGACAAAGTAATAAATACCAGACTCCACTGAAATATTCTATATTGTGCTTGCCCGTTCCTTTGTTAGTTCACACGAGCGTTACGCTCTGCCAACAGCTCATAAATAATGTTCTATTCGGATCGCAATTGCGTGGAAAGAGAGGAAAAGAAACTAATTGGTTTTAGTGAGAAAAATAAGTGTCTTACATCTATTTCAGTGAAATCGAAAAGTAGTCAACTTCAAAAGTTTTCATTTGTACCTACTTAACTTACTTCTTAAAATAACACCAGCATTCATATTTATGATTGTTATTGCAACATTTTGTTAAAGTTGTCAAATTAAAGTTGTCAAATATTTAACGATGCGACAGGGGAATTTCTACGGATATTTTATTGTTGTAGAAGTCGCCATAAATCAATTATTAACTTAAAAATTAAGGTTCTTCATAAATTTAAAATAGGAAAAACGTGAAATTTTCACGGGTTAAAACTAGATATTACTATTAACTATTATTATACAGTGTAACCCGGATATAAAAGACCCGGATATAAGAGAAACCCGGATATAAGAGAGATTTTCTCTGGTCCCAAATTAGAGCCTGTGTTAATGTATATAAAATAGACCAAACCCGGATATAAGAGAAACCCGGGTATAAGAGAGATTTTCTCTGGTCCCAAATTAGAGCCTGTGTTAATGTATATAAAATAGACCAAACCCGGATATAAGAGAAACCCGGGTATAAGAGAGATTTTCTCTGGTCCCAAATTAGAGCCTGTGTTAATGTATATAAAATAGACCAAACCCGGATATAAGAGAAACCCGGGTATTAGAGAGATTTTCTCTGGTCCCAAATTAGAGCCTGTGTTAATGTATATAAAATAGACCAAACCCGGATATAAGAGAAACCCGGATATAAGAGAGATTTTCTCTGGTCCCAAATTAGAGCCTGTGTTAATGTATATAAAATAGACCAAACCCGGATATAAGAGAAACCCGGGTATAAGAGAGATTTTCTCTGGTCCCAAATTAGAGCCTGTGTTAATGTATATAAAATAGACCAAACCCGGATATAAGAGAAACCCGGATATAAGAGACTTCGGTCCCGACAACTCTCTTATATCCGGGTTACACTGTATTATAATAACTGTTAAATGAAATCTGTTAATTTTACCAAATCTCAGTTTATATAGATCTTTAAATTTCTTCTTCACAAACAATACAGAGTCATGAAGTAAAAAATATATGGCTCATAACGTGTTAAGATTCTACTAACACAGAACAAGAATTATGACAACAATAAACGACAGTAAAGAGAAAGAGAGAGAGAGAAAGAGAAGGCA